AACAGTCTACTTGTCCGTCCAAAATGCAGGCTAATGTCCCAGCCACGGTTCCATCATGTCCGAATTGAGACAATTGCTGGTCCAGTTAAATAGACTGGTGGACCTAGTGGGCCAAGTAAATTCGGGGTAATGCTTACGATTTGTTTTTAGTTTTCAATATTGGCCAAAAACAACTAACTGTTCAGGTGTCTGGATCTACCGGCTCCCACTGCGCTCCGACTTAATGCGACTAAATTATATGGACGAGGAGGCCATGAAACTCACTTTTTAAAATAACGGCAGAAAAGACTTGTGAGATTATTCTCTCTATGCTTGGAGGTCTGAGTTTGATTTCCAGCTTTCCCAGTGTGCACGTGGTGTTGCTGATGGTAGACTGAAAATGCATTCCAGTTATATATTAACCTAATTTGGCATTCTGGAGGTCAACATTTGTCATCTGTCAATCAATAGAAGGGTCTTACAGGTTCACGTTTACAGGCCATAAAAGGTCGTTAAATTTTCCCTAGTCGGACCCATTACGGCTCGACCCGTTAATCGAGTCGCCTCGAGATCATGAATTCTCCGTTGGTATTGTCGTTTTATCTTTTTCAAGTGACCCACAGTCACGAGTCCGGAAACTGGATAATCATCGTCGCAAACCTCCCCGTAGTTTAGAGGGAGAGGTTGGCAACCTTGTGAATAGCAACAAGAGGTTAGAATTCTGAAAGGTGGATCTCGACTCCCAGCAGTAGATAAGAGTTTCGCTCAGAAGTTACTTTATTAATTTGGCTAATGTGTGTTCAACGACTAGTGTGTGAAGAGCCAGAGTCATGTGAAGAACGTTTTGTGGTTGCCTTCTTCGTCCTCACATGTGAATTCGCCGTGGGCGCGAACGTCCATGCTGTCAGAATGACCAAGACTCAAGGCGTCCGTCTAATATCACCCCTTCCAATGTCTTGAGCTTTCCAACTACCCTAAAAATTATCGAGGAGAGCTAAGCTCCACGTCTTCCCTAACTAGGCACTTTTTTGTCCCGGTTCGAAAATCTCGGATGAGTCAGCTCCCGGGCTCTTTGGCTTGGATCTCCTGTTTTCGTCCACTTGCTTAGAAACTGTGTCGCCTCTTAAATCTTGCGGGTCTTGAGTTCCACCTGTCGACATTCTGACTAATACTCTAGTTACCCCTCATTAGTCATGCATCGTCTCTGCGTCCGCTAGCTGGTTTAACCAAACCTAAACCGAGGGTCTACTAAGTGGCATAGATTCACACTAGTTCTGCTAGTGTCCCGAATCGCGGTGCGCGTAGTGGAATGATAATGGACGCAACAGCAGGTCTTGAGATAAACGGATTTAGGCCGACTAGAAATACTGTATCGCCAGATGGTATCGAACTACCTGCTTATCAGTTTGTGCTATTTGTTCAGCCGACTGACCTGTGTCCAGCGCGCTTGTGCACAAGGCGTCTGTCTTGAAGTCCCAGCGAAACGACTGCCCATACTGGGAGATAGACTGGTTTTGCGTGTGACAAGTGAGGCACTACCGATGACTTTCACGGGGCAGACAGGCGTGTCTACCATAGTTTAACAGGCAGAACACCCTGAGCGTGGTCAGGAGGTTGGCAGCCAGATCACTTTTGGCGAAAATCTTTCTAATTCTATGACCCTCTCATTTTCTGTGGTTTTTCACAATCCAAACTGACCCAGCGTTATGCGTACTTGTTGCTTATATAAAGTAGGTGATGTAAATCATGAAATGTGTGCAGATTTGAGAAACTACCAATCACACGGAAACCTGTCCACTTGCATGGACCAGAACTAAGTAAAATTAAAACATAAATATTAGAAGTAATATCCAGTTGGTTAAGGGTAATTATTTCCCCCAGAAAAGCAAAAATACCAAAAACGCGAGAATTCGTGCCATATGAGTGAACTCGAGTTTTTAAAGTACACAAATGTAAATAACGGCACAGGTAGTGAGACGCCCAGAAATCGTCCTTTTGTGCAATTTACGTTTGAATACCCTTTAAGAGTTTACATGAAAATAAAGTGTCGTGGTAAGCTAACTGTCTACAGTTCGAGCAGAGACCTCAAGACGGTTCCACGGTTTTTGCATAATTTAGCATGCTGTTGACTGAGACAAGGAGGACTCCACTTTATTCGCTGATGGGAACCTTACAGAAATAGAAGTTGCCTTAAGGTCACATGTTGAGAAGCCGAGCAACGGTTAAAAAAGCGGGATAGAAATAGCAGATGCAGCCACAATCCTGCCCTTTTGTGTGCACCAAGAGATCTTTTCTTCAGCAAAATCATTGTGTAGTTTTTTGGCGCCGATGAGGTCCACTGATTTACAGGATGTCCTTGGAATATCAGCGGATACCTTGTGGTTTTCAGCGTTCTCGAATGACGGCTTGGCAAGATAAGTCCTGCAGTTTGTGTTTACCAATATCCTAAAGGTACTATAATTTTTGGGAATCTTTGGTCTAGTTAGTGATTTCCCGGCCATTTATTTTTATGCAAATATCAGTTAGGTTCATATTTGCGAACCCACCCAGACGGGAAAACCCAACACCGAAAAAAAGAACATTTACACCGGAGATCTGCGATGAATACGCTCTTGAACGTTTGAAAAACCTCCCCACTTATTTACCTCTAAGAAAAATACTTTAACAGGGCGTTTTGCAGACAAATGTCCACAAAAAATACGGACAGTATTCAGCCTCAGACAAAAAAGCCTACTTTTCTCTTTATACTAAAGCCATTTTGGTTAAATCAAATGTTTTTTTCGTCAGGCGTTATTATTGTTTCCCGGGTGTAGTGTTATGCAGATTTACACATCCTAATTTGTATATTTGAAACATTTTTGGTTTTTCTAAAAGCAACCTGCTTGTACACTTCCTGCTCCAACCAACTTGTGCGAAACAAAATACCAATTTTCAAATGTGTGGCAGTTTGGTAAAACTCCCTAGTTTATGTTACTCCCCTTCAGTAGAAAGCACGCATGGACTGCGAAAGCTTTGTCTAGGAACACTATTAACATACGGAATTGGTTGAATGTGAACATGTTCTTCGATAAATTACATATAAGTCCATTCTGCTTAAGTGATGCACACTCCCGATACGAGTAAGGCGATTACGTAAGCTGCACAATGTTCAAGCTGTCCCAAAACGATCGTATACATTCCTGTTATCACGTTTCATGAGTTTCGTTGCCTATTGATTACTCTAGGGGGGAGGGGGGGGGTGCACAATAGAGCGTTACGGTTAACACCTCGTATCATGGCAAGACGAAAGAAATTAGCGCTCAAGCCTGACGAGCCAGTGAATTCCTTGTGGCCTTGAGTTCAGCTATCAACTTGACATCATGGCTGCATTTGGGAGCAATGGGACGCCAGCAGGCTAGAGAAAACATGGGAATTCGAAGACCTGGCAAACCGTCCACAGATGCCTTTTGTTTCATTTATTGAGCATTTTAGCTGGATATCGGCAAGTCGGTATTCTGATCTGCTGGATGACTTCCTGAGAGGCCGGCAGGCCGTGGTAGGATTCCCAGATATTAAATTCTTATGACCCTAGGTGGTAATTTATTGGACTCACTTATCACGAACGACATGCAACTTAGTTAGTTTTGCTGACTTACATTTCGGATTCGCTACTAAGCCTCCTCCTCATTTTTATGAGTGTTAAGATCGATAATTAGATGGAATTTATGCTGAGCGGGAGGAACAGTGACTTGCGATGTGATCGAGAAGTCTGGCGAAAGCACGATGACATAATCATGACTAGCCCCGATTAAACGGTCTTGCGGCCTTTCCTTTGTTTTGGGGTTCAGGTGTGTATCATGACTTTTGTAGTTAAAATACTTATAACAATAAACTCGAGAGACTGATGCTCCAGAAGAGGCCTGAAACGGTCGGGTACTTTTCAGCCGAGGATTATTTTCCCGGCGGAATAGTTTTCGGTATGCGTGAATTCTCTTTCCATACGACAGTTTGACTATCGTTTCCGATGGTGTCCACGAGTGCTCCACAGCAAAGTGCAGTGGACACGATGACTTGTGCGTGAACTAGTTTAGAGGGGATGTTGACTTTCGCAGCATCTATCGCACTCACTCCTCCCCCAACTGGATCCGGTGTCAAGACAGAGTTAAGAAGACCGGAGGCGAGGGAGGTCGCAGGTGGATGGCACTGCTGAGCCCGCACCTGGGCGCTCCATTCCACACCCCCTGGTCCACACTGCAAATGGCCGGAATTTAAACTGACAACAACGGGGATGGCCGCAGGGGTCCCAATGTGCGCTACGTCTGCCGGTAACTGGGTCCTCCACCGCACCTCGAGATGTTGGCATTTGTTATGGTGCGCATTCCGATAACGCCTGCCAGGATCCGATATGGCCTCCGTGTTGGTCCAGCGCATCTACCACGTGGATAGTTCGGGGGGCACCTCTTTCAATACACCAGTTTTAACAAGTCATGGACTTCCTTTGGGGTATTGGCTATTCCGGTTTGTTATTTTAACAGAGGCCGGGGACTCCAGTCAAAGCTTGGGTCAGGAAATGTGGCTGTGTACTCCAAATGTCTCTCTTATTTCCATGCACTGCAGTTTGCAGATTTGTCCCCATGATATATTCAACACAACTGTTTCCTTAACGAGCATGAACACGTGCGTTTTTTAAACAAGATTCACGTATTCAAATCCGTATGTGAGATGTCCCATAGGAGAGCAAAGACTTTTTTGCAAGGTTGACTGACGCTGCCGACCATAGCCATGGTCGACACTAAACCTTGAACCATATTGCGACTCTCTTGGTAGTCTAGCGAACACTTAAATTGATCGTTTAACTTTCGGACTTTGGGCAAAGGGAGTTTTGCGGTTAGCAGTGGGAGACATCATCGTCATAACGAATAGAGCGTCTGAAGTGACGAAACAGGGTCTCAGACGCGGAAATCTTAGATCGGGTAGGAATCCCCAGCATCAGCGCAATGCTGCGACAGCTACAACTGCGATGGAGAGGCCATCTCGTGAGAATGGACGACGAGCGTCTACCCGGGCGACTTTTCTGTGGCAATTTTGCCATAGATGCGCGCCGAAAAGGTGGACAACGGCGACACTACAGGGACAATCTGCGGTCCTCCCTAAAGGATCTACAACTCAAGCCAAAGACCTGGTGGGATCCCGCTCATGATCAACTGGCCGGTGGAATGACGAAGAAAACTGAAGCAGAAACCTACGAAACCAACCAGATTGGCACTGCAAAGCCAAATGAGCGGCTTGCAATTCTCAAGCGTCTATGGTTCATAACGCCCACACCCAACCTCTCCCAATATGCCCAGGCTGCCGACCAACATGTCATGCGTGGATCGACATCGTTGGATACCGCTGGACTCAATGTGATAACAGCCCAACAACTCCACCTGTCGCACCCGCAAATGCCTCACCGCCAGCCCAGCGCAAACCCCCCAGGGCGGCGACCACCGCCACCGGTGATTGTACTTCTGATGCCTCGACGCCTCAGCCAACGCCGTCGAACCCCACCACCCCTAACATCCCTATCCAACCCCTGCGATGACGGCGACTTCCACCTCTCCGATCCCCACCACCGGTGAACACATTCCCAATGTCTTGTCAGTTCCCACTCACACCACCAGCGTTCCAATCGCCAGTAATGTGGACTCGATCCTAGCCTGTCCACGTTGCAGTCACACCTTCAGCTCACTCGTCGACCTGCTCGGTCACTTGCGAATCCATCGTCCTTGGGTTGGCCCATCAGTTCCAGGAGACCCTACGTGCACTCATCACACTTGCATTCACCGTCCGCGCTGCCAACGCGCATCGACTCGTGGGCCTATTCGACCACATACGCATTCACGACAGCGGAATTCATTGTAATATTGACACTCCGAGCACACCTTACATATCCGACAACTCTTCCATCTCCATTACTACCAACCCTTCACTCATCAGCGCTGCGGACAGTGGTAAAATCACCACCGCAACCGACTCATCAGCTCCAAACCTATCCTGCCCACAGAATCACCGCGCATGTACATCCCGCATCGGTCTAGTCTGTCACTTGCGAATACAGCGCGTGGAGACTAGAAAATCAGTGTCTGGAGCACCAACATAGACCCATCGCACCCACCTCAACTGCTCACACTATTTACGCACATTCAGTCGCTGCGCGGACCTACTGGGCTATATGCGCATCCATGAAGACTTGTGACAAAACGCCACCGACCAAACCCTATCTCTACATATCACCCCACCAACATACATCTCACGCGTACCTGCCCAGCACCCATAACAAGCACAGATTCAGTGCCTTTCACGCGCGTGGGAATCGTGCTCATTGGCTCCTTCCCCATGTGACCCCCCTACTGATCGAAAACATGTGAGATCCGAACAACCTATGCACTTTTTTGAGACCCTGGTGTTTTGTGTCCGGGGGTCAAGTCATGCATGTGGTACGCGCAGACGGGCTGTCTTTAGCTCTATCAGCCACTGAGCCAAATTTCAGCATCAACTGTTTGGTCGGATAGGACGATCAACTGGTGCATAGGAGTGTGGGGGAGAGAGTGGGGTCGACTCTCACACAGGTGGGAAATGTGCTCCTTGACTCCTTCTCCGTATGCCTCCTCCGTTGCATGTATGGTCGGAGGCTGAGATTTTTACGATGTGCCAAGCGCCGTGACTTGGAAGGTCGTCGACTGATGCCTATACCCAGTCCACCCACTCTGCCCAGCTGTGTGTGTTTGTGTGAAGTGGCGGACTGGGGGGCTGAGAGTCAGGCTTTCACGGCTCCTTCTCATGACGACCCCTGGCGCTCTCACGCGTGTGAAGAGTGTGTGTATATGGGTAATGCCTCTCAGTATCAGGGTGTAGGGGTGTCAGCGGTGGGTCCACGTGATGGTCGTAGTGGTCGCTCACTTGCTTGCAGGTGAGACTACACCTAGCGTCCATTTGCTGGCACCTAACTCTCACCTGTGGCTCCACGTAGCTGGGCTCTGCTCAGCGGCCACACCCCGGGCAACCGTCTCGACCGGCGGGCTAAACCAGGTGAGGGTATCCGTGCGTGCACCTGCACGCGCGGTACTGTGGTCTGCGCTGGCCGGATGGATCTTCGCGTCGACATCGTCGAGACGAGGCTCTGCCTGGACCATCGTAGGCGGCCACCAGGTAAGTTTCCCCTCAGGTAAGTGCGCTTGCTTTGTTTCTTCCTTTTGTTTGTTGAAGTTCCGGGTCATACGCTGCGCTTGCTGCCTGCCCTTTATATGCTAGTCTGTCTGTTAATAGCTAAACGACACCCTCGATGCCTGCTGCGATTGTCTGTCTGTCAGTCTATGCCACTCTCTACTAATAGCTAGGTGTTACGGTGCCTGACTTTGTGTGGTGCCCTCACCTTGTCTCTGACTGGTGACTGTGTCCGCTTGTCCACTCTAGCTCTAAGTCCCATAGCGTTAGGCAGTGTGTATGCTCTCTCCTACTTCACTCCATCACATCATCACCTCACCACCAAGGTCCCAGGCTAATTCGGGTCGTTCTCTCACTAACAAAAGTCGTGGCCCATAGTCGAGTCCGGCAGCCGTCTGGGATAACCGGGCAGCCCTGTTCAGGGATGCGTTGCCTGCCCCCGCGAGGGGGAGGGGGCTAGAAAAGGTGCCCTAAAGATCGCTGGGAACCACGCTGTCTGTAGGCTGGCCGTGGCCGCAGACAAAAAACACACGGTCGAAACAGCCAAAACCGAAACAACAACAACAACAATCGCTATCTTCCTCTTCCAGCCTATTCTTCTTCTTCTCCTACTCCTACTTTTCGTCGCCGCAGTTGCCAGACTGGCAGGGTGAGCCCGCTCACTCTGGCAGCCTGGAATGTTCGTTCCCTTTTAGACAATCCGAGGAGCAACCGACCGGAACGGAGGACGGCGCTAGTGGCAAGAGAACTGGCGCGCTACAAGGTGGACATCGCCGCACTCAGCGAGACCCGATTCTCCGAACAAGGCCAACTGGAGGAGGTGGGTGCCGGCTACACCTTCTTATGGAGTGGTCGACCCAAGGCAGAGCGACGAGACGCGGGTGTCGCCTTCGCCATCCGGAAGGACATCGTGGGACGACTACCCTGTTTGCCGCAGGGTGTCAACGATCGCTTGATGAGCCTCCGTCTGCCTCTGCGGGGTGGGGGCAAATTCGCCACCATCATGAGCGCCTACGCTCCGCCGATGAGCAGCCCCGACGCCGCCGCAAGAGACAAGTTCTACGAGGACCTGCACGCCCTCTTGGCGACTGTGTCGAAGGCGGACAAGTTGATTGTCCTTGGTGACTTCAACGCCCGCGTCGGCACAGACCATACTGCCTGGAGGGGAGTGCTGGGTCCTCACGGTCTCCGCGGCTCCAACGACAACGGCCTGCTGCTCCTTCGCACCTGCGCAGAACACCGCCTCATCCTGACGAACACGTTCTTCTGTCTGCCGGAGCGAGAGAAGGCCACCTGGAGGCATCCTCGGTCGCGTCAGTGGCACCTGCTGGACTATGTCCTCGTCCGGAGGCGAGATCAGCGGGACGTGCTGGTGACGAAGGCGATCGCGGGTGCTGACGGGTGGACCGATCATCGCCTCGTCATCTCGAAGATGCGTATTCGCCTACAGCCTCGCAGGAGACCACAAGGTAAGCGACCCCCAGTTAAGCTGAATGTTGCTTTGTTGTCTTTGCCTGCTCACCGTCTCCATTTCAGCAATGAGCTAGCTCAACGGCTAGACAACCTTCCTATCGCTGCCGCCGACGACGCCGCCGCTGCCGAGAACGCCGCCGTGGAGAATCGCTGGTGTCAACTGCGAGACACAGTCCAGTCGACGGCGCTCGCCGTCCTCGGTCGCGCTCCCCGCCAACACCAGGACTGGTTCGACGAAAACGACGCCGCCATCAGAAATCTGCCAGCTGAGAAGAACCGCCTCCACAAAGCCTACGTAGATCATCCCACTGAGGACAACAAAGCTGCCTTCTACCGCAGTCGCCGCCAACTTCAGCAACGACTGCGCGAGATGCAGGACGCCTGGACTGCTCGCAAAGCTGAGGAGATCCAAGGCTACGCGGACCGCAACGAATGGAAGAACTTCTTCTCCGCGATCAAAGCTGTCTACGGTCCGCCGACGAAGGGCACTGCTCCTCTCCTCAGCGCCGACGGCAGCACTCTCCTGACTGAGAAGACGCAAATCCTGCAGCGATGGGCCGAGCACTTTCGAGGCGTCCTCAACCGCCCTTCCGTCATCTCCGACGCCGCCATCGCCCGCTTGCCGCAAGTGGAGACCAACGTGGACCTCGACCTCCCGCCATCTCTCCAGGAGACCATCAGGGCCGTGCAGCAAATCTCCAGCGGGAAAGCACCCGGATCGGACGCAATCCCTGCCGAGGTCTACAAGCACGGAGGTCCCCTACTGATGGATCACCTGACTGCGCTCTTCCAGGAGATGTGGCGTCAAGGTGAAGTCCCGCAAGATTTCAAGGACGC